TGAACGAGTGACTTAGGGGTTGGTGCAAAGAAACAACGACGCGAGAAGTGATCGCCTATTAGGAGTAGGCTTGGGCACTCGTTTTTTTTGCAGAACGTCGCCAATTGGCGCAGTTATCGATGAAACGGATTGTGAATAGAGTACATATCGGCACCGAACGCAGCGACGCGGGCACGAAATGAGAAACGCTTGGGTGCGGAATGATGGCCTTGTTACGCTACAGCTTGTGCACTTTTCCGCACCGAAAACGATCCTCAAACGGCTTGTTTATCGGTGCAAGGTGGTGCGAACACACACACACACGGCGGAATTGATACTCCGCCTAGCAAAACGCTTGACGACCCTCAAGCCAGCTATCAACTGCCGCGTTTACCTGGTGTGCCACGTTTGTTCCATCTGCTGAGGACGATTGCACCGTCTATCACCAACTCTGCCGCAAAAATACATGACAACATGATGATGTGGGCAATGAGTAAAATCGTCCTTGGCAAGATGGCCGACAGCATGAGAATACCAACGGTCAAAGAAGTACGCGCAGACCCGACGANGAATACCAACGGTCAAAGAAGTACGCGCAGACCCGACGAAGAGCGAGGAGGTAGATTTCTTCGAAGGGACAGCTCGGGCGCAGGTGCACCTACCCATGCGAGAAGGAGGACTAGGAATCACGAGCAATGTTCTCATTCGAGAATCGGCTTTTGTGGCAGGGCAAGCGCTGGTGTTCTCCAAGTCAGTGCAAGCATCGACAGGATACACAGTTGAGCAATGTCTACCCCGGCTTGCCCAGCTACCGACAGGATTGGCTCTGATTGACTCGCTGAAGAAGCTAGAGGAAATCATCACCAAAGACAAGCTTGAAAAAGCTGTTGGGCAGTCATGGGCTAAACTTGCCACAAGTGATGAGTTAACCCCCGCCCTCAAAGGAGTTTACTTGTTGGAAGCAGGGAAGGCGGGAAAACCCCGTGAAGATGGAAACCCTGACGTAGACGTAGAACATCAACCACCGTCTACCTACAGCCGAAATGAATTTGGTCACACTGTCTTTGGAGCCCAAGCTCTCCTTTCGAAACCTCTTCATGCAGAAGTGCGCCACATGGTGGAGTCAGACTTGCAGAAAGT